TTGTATAAATAAATTAAAAACCGCATGTATTATCTCAAACTCAAGTTCTAGGTTACCTTTTGAGATACTACTATTTATTTTTATTTTTTTTAATACAAATTTTGCCATTGGATATAAAATAGCGTATGACACACTAAGATGGTTTGTAAACTATAAAATATTTATAATGATTTATAATCTAAATGAATAAAAAACAAAAGTAAGTGATACTGTAAAAATGTTTATTGATTTTTATTTAACGAAGTGTGTTTTGAATTCCAAGAAATCGGTTAGTTCATGTGATTTGAAAAATAAGAATATTACTGAATTGATCTGTTATTTTAGTATTTTTTTTTTTTTTTTTTTTTTAGGGAAGAATCGAGTTTTTTTTTTATCAACTGTACATTTATTTTTATTTAAGGTTGGGTGAGGTAACGTAAATAATACGTATTATAATGTGGTAGGTAGTTACGGGTTTTATATAGTCATTATAGAAGAACGAACAAAACTTTTGATACAATACCTATTCCTTGTTGGGATATTATTTCATGCATCACAGGGCCTGGGCTAAAATGTTTCGAGCGTGACAGTAAGCTCAGCAGTTGACTGCATGGACTTGTTTTTTAGTTGGTTATTTGATTTTTATTTCTGTGTAGAGGAATATGAGGTTTAAGTTGAGGTATATATTTTTTTATAAATTCGTTGACTATTGTTTTTAATTAACAATTACCYGATTAATAAAGAATGTGAATATGTAGATGTTTGGAAGTTTCATAATTAATATTACGTACTATGTGTTTATTGAGTAAATTCGTGGTGTTGTTTGAGTAAACTTTATTTAATACTGGAGTTGGGTGAAAAAATCTTTTGAGATATATTAGTATTCTTTTGACAAACTTGAGAATTCAAATAATTTCACCTTAGTGATTATTCAAATAATAATAAATTATTTTGCTTAGTTATGTGTACCTAAATGCTAATATTAATATTACGTAATGTTGTTATACAATTAATATTACATGTTCTTTTTTATTATTATTTATTATTRTATATTAAGAATTTATATATCTCTATGTAAATAAGTGAATTTGTAAGCTTACAGTTTCACGGTTTGTTTATTTACATGACGTGATTTTAAATGTGTAGGAATTATAGGAACATCTGGTAATTTACTCCAACTCAATTTGAAGTTTGTAGTGCTTGTTTATTTTGGGGCCAAAAAAATTGCTTCATTCTTCAACATTTAAAGAAGGTTTTTGGTGAAAAATATGATCTAGTTGGTAGTTAAAGGATAAAATAGAAAGTAGAAAGTAATATATACCCAGTAATTTTCCTAAAACTAACAAAAATAGAGTGATAATGGGAATATTTATGAATGATATTTTATTTTATTTTTAACTATTTATAGACATTTAAAATTTCTCATTTTTATTTTTTTAGAATTGTTGTTTGTCGGTAAAAAAAAAATGAAAAATTGAATATAAGGTTCTTATAATATGAGTAATATAACCTACTATGTTTTTTTAAAGTAATTATTAAAAGCATTTGAAATGCATGATATCACAATTTTAATTTATAAGCGTTGTGTACAAATTATGATAAAATTTGATATTTAAACGAATCATAATGATTACGCTGATACGTAATACATGAGATATTATCGTATGCAATGGTTGACTTGGGGAGGGACGCTATGGGTCTGAGTACATCAACTAATTTTTTGGATACGCTAGCGTACCCCTACTTCTTTTTTAAAAGGGGACACCCACCGCCATAGCCCATGGTTATGTAAGTTTTATTAAAATGCTAGGGACGCTACATTTAAAAAGTAGCTAGAGTACCTATACTACATTATTTCCAAGTCAACCACTGATCGTATGTACTTATGTATTGTCAGGTAGTCGAGTAGGTACATGTAGTGGAAATTGTAGTACCTACCTATGTAGATAATATGAATTTTGTTAATTTTCATACTAAMAAAATCATTGAAATTTGAGAATCATTTTATGTGTTTTTGGAGTAGAGTAGATAATTTTTCAAGCGTAGTATACCGCAGTGTTACTTAGAAATGTGCTAAGAGTTGTATTGTTTGTTTTGAGAATATTTGAAATTAATACTAATATTAATACGAATATTTCGAATTAACATATTTCTTTTCATTTCAAAAAAAGTATTAATTGCAATMAGTATTTTGTATAGTGTGTCCTTATTGTGTTTAATGATTGAAAACTTAAGGTGTTTAAAAAAATTTAATGCATTTTTTGAAGAATTAGAAAAATACACTTATAACTGATTTAAGCGGATGTAGGAGTAAAAGTGTTTATATTTATTTTCAATATGTGGCTATACTTGTTGGTGCATTTGAAAATGTACGCTTTTTTCAGTTAGCATAAGGTATTAAGGATAAAACAATTTAATATGATACAAGTTTGGTGAATGATCCAAGTGAATGATAATTCAAATAATAATGACGGTCTTAATCTATATTAAGCTTGAATTCAAATTTAAATTCAATTTTAAAACTCTAAAATTATTAATTTATCCATGTCAATGTGTACCTCTTTACGGTGTATCGGAAAATAGCTGTAAAAACTGTACCTATGATATACACCTGTGACCTAGTTAGAAAATCATAAAAATGTATATATTTATATTTAAGATTTGAAAATTAAATACAAGATTCATCATGGGTTTGTCTACTTTCATCAATTGACTGGAAAGTCAAATGAAATTTTTATGGGCATTTGAATTATAACATTGGATATTCACTTAATTTTTTGTATACCGATATTCTTAATTAAWTGTTATTTAAAATGTATAGATATTTGAAATTTTCCGTTTTTTTTAGTTTTTATTCTATAAATGGCAATAAAATTTTATCCGTTGGGTCAAAAAACTTGAAAATGTCATACAAGGCTCCCCATAAGTTGATAT